CACCTGACAGGCGAATTGAGAATTTTTCACACTGTTAAATGCAAATTTCTCAGATAAAAATTTCCCGTCATTCTGCATGTTGATTCAGTTTTGTCTTCTCGTCATGTATGTTGTCATTTTGTAATAATGGATGGAACACCTAAGCCCTAATGTAAAGCAAGTGGCCTTCATGCCAAACAAATTCTCACCTACCGCTGGGAAGCGGCAAATGAAGTGCAGTTGTATATCGTATAAGTGTGATGTGAGTTACCTGTTAAGTTGATTTGAATTTGTAAAAGTTCTGTCTCAGTCCAGTATGCATAAATACAGAGAACGTTCAAATTTTTCAGAGCGATATAAAGATTAGAGAGCATAATTTTATTCATTTACAGCTGAGTCTGTTGGGAAAAGCTGTCATCCTAAGATACCAGAACAACCTGGAAAGCTGGAAACAGCTGCTGTGAATTCGATTGTTTTAGTAAAGAATAATGCTTGTCAGGTTTTTCCATGTAAACAGAAATAGTTCGTTATCCTGTTCTGGTGAAGCGGGCAACTGTGAAAATTAAGACTACATCGTTCTTCCATAAGGCAAATCCTCGAAGGTAAATGCGTCCTAAATGTTTCTTTTCTTTTCCGTTTTCGACTGAGTAATTAGAGAACTATTTGAGCTAGATAATTAATGATTGGTAACTAGTCAATCTATGAAGTAAGTTTGAATAACAAATCATCTGGACTAATAGCAGAATTCTCAGTACTTCTATATGCTTCGTGGGCTTGCTTGAAATTTCATCGACAACCTCTCTTGAGAACAATCAGTCTTCTCCCCTTATGTAAAATTTCCTGAGGTAAGTTTAGCGCCGGTTTTCCATGAAACTACATCCTAGGAAATTAAGAAAGAAAATTTTGAATGGTGACACCTCTGCTTTGTAAACAGCCAACCTTCCCTTAAGGCTTGCATCGCAACTGCAGTGCCTGTAATACGAATTGAAGGACACTCTTTGCGCAAAAGGACGGCTGCTATACGGAACTTTTATTTTTCTTTCTGCCAGAAATCATGTTCTGTTCGACCAAACCCGGATGTTGTCGCTTTGGACTTTGAAAGTCATGTTTGGCATGAGTAGAAAATGATAACTTATCTCAAACTTGGTCCCTAATTAATTTTTTGATGTTACGAAAACACTCGATTCAACTGTTTTAAGAAAAAACAAATACCTTGATGGAAGAAACGACAGTTCATAACCGTGGTTGTCATTCAAACACAGCCTTTAATATGTCTAAAGTTATGATAATTTTTCTAAGACCGCATAATTTTAAAAGCTAAGTTCGAGGCCTCACGTCCGCATGAACACGAAATTCTACGCCAAAAAAAGGAAGCATTGAACATAGTATCTTCTAAATCAAAAAGTTACTACTTTCTGAACTTATTTTAACGACTAAGCTAATTTAAAACCAGGAGAGAAAAAAGAAGGCTGCTTTACAACGGAACATTCAGTACAAGTGTACAGAGCTACGACATTCTCCTAAGTAAGTGTAGGTAGGAGAGTTTCTTTATAATTTCAAGTTATGAATAAGGATGGAAAGGACGAGCACATATACAAATGTACTTCATAGGACCTTCGTTTTAGAGGGATTTTATGCGTCGCCAAGTACTTTTAATATGCGAACTCTGACGTACACGGAATTGGGCTTGTTTAAAGCCAATTGCAAACAAGCTTATGCTGAGTAGTACGACCAACCGAGAAAAGATGCAATAGTTATGTTCTAAGTCTTTTATTAGTGCAGTTTGAAATAAGTGAAATTGAGTCATAAAAATGGAAATTTTTTCACCAGCAAGGCTAAACCGTCTGAATTTTCTTCTCTTGCAATGACTGATATCTGTTCGAAGACTTTAGATCTTCCTGTGAGGGACTTATCATAATTTATCGACATTATAATTTTTTCTTTTGGGGAGGTGGGGGGTTGGAGATCACATGGTTTAGAGGGGGGAATGGAAGGGGATAAGTCGTCGTTAACAGAGTATAAAGCGGGGACTACTTAGAATTGACTGTCAATTAACTGCCGATAAGAGAAAGGGGGGGGGGGGTGGGGAGATTATGAGAATATTTACAAAGCCTTATAAGAGTGTCTCAATTAGTTAACCGTCAGCCGTTTGGCCTAAAAATTTACAAATTTTCACCCTTAGTCTGAAAAAAGTTAGCGGTAAGTTTTTTTTTTCTTTTAATCACAAAGGAACAAAATTAACTATTAGCCATAAAATGGCCAAATGATGGCGTTGGCCGTAAAGGCCATCATCCCTTTGATACTCTGTTATAGGGGAGATCAGGTAGACACAATATTCACAGAAAAAAATTTGCATATCCAGACTTTAGAGGAAATTAAAAACTGATAAGATATCAATTATTGACGTATTTCGTAATGGTTACCATGAATAAAGTTTGAGTTCATTAAATGATAAGGAAGAAAGTTTCCGGTAAACACTTAAAAATCCATCTACAGAATTGCGTTGTCAATCACTGAAGTGTTATACAAGTCTTAATAACTCCCCGGCAATATCAACGTTCAGTTTATACTACACAAGTAAATAACGCATTTTGCCCGTGCTGATTGGAAATTTCGGAAGTGATTACCAAGTACTGTTCACTTCTGAGAGGCCGAAGAGACAAAATCACGCGTCAACATATTAACTTTCAAATTTATTTTTTGTACATTGATAAAAAGAAACTTTTTTTTTTCGGTTTCTGTGTGGTATTTACTACTGTGTGTGCATATAAATGCAACTCCACTTCGGAGAATAACCGTCAACTGCTGAAACAAGATAAACAATAAAATAATTTTATCGCTTTTCGCCGTTGACATGATCTAAGTCTCAAGCCCTCGTTTGAGTGCGATGAAACGATTTTTTTTTGGTGTGTCTTTTTTCAGGTACCTTAGTGAAGTAAGCAATGGTGGGCATCCTGTGGTTTCTTGTCATATTAGTTGATACAAGCAAGTCTCTAACATGTGGTGAACCTGTGAGATCTGTGACAGGAAAGTATCTTAGAGGTCATGTGACTTCAAATTCAAGTACCAGTAGTGTTGGTGACTGTATGCAGCAGTGCATTAGTGTTCCGCAATGTAAAAGCATCAACTTCCGGTTTAAGGACTTATTCTGTGAACTGAACGACGCTTGTAGGTATACACACCCATGGGATTACATTTCCAGAGAGGAACACGCGTACAGTGACATCCATCCTGATAAGGTATAATTGGACAAAAGAATTATCTCCTTCAAATGTGATCTTCATGAATTTTATGCTAAGTCTTGAAAATGAAATATTCTGATAAGTAATCTTCATTAATCCGATTTGTTGTAAACAGGAACCATTTCGGAACCTACACTTGAATATGACGCCTTCATGGCTTCGAGCCCACGCTTCTTTCATTTATATCAATAGCTCTCATTCCGCAACTGCTGATCAGATAACATTCAACGCAGGTTCTTTAAAAAACGCGGCCCTTTTAAAAGTTGCTTTGGTGGCTGATGGCCTGTTGACAGAAGGAACTCCGCTGACCGTTGAAATTACTGTAGCAGTCAACGCAACTTATGGGCAGACAGATGACAGTGACCTCAGGCTCGGTGTATCGGACGGAAGCAAATTCATCGGGTTTGAAATACCAGATAAAACTAATTACCAAGCCCTTGCTCCTTGTTATGGAATACAAGCGAAGTCTGGCAGCTCTCTGAGTAAAATAAGGGCTTTGGCTAAGAAAGCTTCCAATTCACAGCCAAGCTTCTACCCAGGAATGTTTTTCCTCACGATAAAGCCGGATCGAAAACGAGGCTTTTGCCGCATTACGCCTGCGCATGACAGGAGCTTTAATAAAACAGTTGAATACAGTGAGCAGTTGTTGCTCAGTCAAGGACTTGCTTTTGAAGTTTATAAATCGGACAAAAAGGAAAAAGCTGGTATCAAATATGTCGAGGTCAGATTAAGTAGAAACTGAAACAGCTATAAAAAAGCCAAAAAGAGTTTGAAAAAGAATCAAGCTCATAAACTGAAGCCTGGACCACATTAGCAAAATAATTTCACTCACACTTGCTTTTTTGTTTCGACCTCAATGTTCGACAAAAATCGAAAACTATAAGCAGAGCCAGTCCAGTTGAATGGCTTATATACAACTTTTGCAGCATCGAATGTACATAATTTGAGAAGTCACGAAGTGTCTTTCATTGCCAGTGATATAATTGTCGTTTTAAGTTTTTAAGAATGGATACATTGTTTATTGTTTTCACCATCTGAGAAAGATCAAATCCATTTATGGCCCAACAGCTATTAGAGGCTTGAACACTATAAAAAGAACTTGAAAAAGACCACTTGCTACCACAAACTGCTATTGCCTAACAATTAAACTCCCAAGATCTAATTGGTAATTCTCCCCTCTAGCTGCTACACATATCCTTGTAAATTAGTCACGAGAATTTGGTGTTAGATCAAGACAATAGTGTAAGGATATCATGATGGGGTGAAGTTTCATGTTAATCACCTCTAGGAGTTAAAGGGTTAAATGAAGACCGCTTAGAGTGCACTCCAGCTAAGAACCTATGAGTAGCGCCTGGCCGAAACAATTTTGCATGTGCGAGCTATTGAAGGCTCCATATACCTATAATAAAATGCAAGCATAAGTCTCCTTTAGAAGCGCACGTCTAAGTCTTATCTAGAATAACGCGAATTTTAATATGTATGAATAAATGAATAAATAATTCGTTTAGAACGGTGTCACCTTCTTCTAATCCAATCTTCACCTTGAATTATCAAGTCCAATTGTCTTGAATTTTCAATTTATTTTATGATGGCCGTTTGAAAGCAACCATTGAGTGCAATGAAGATCATAAAGCACAATCGAAATAACATTCAAATCCCTTTTCGAAGGAGGTCATTCAAGCTGTTTAAAGAATGTAAACCAACAACTGTGATCGTTAATTTGCATTTCCATTTATAAATCGTTTACATAATATTGTTTTATTTACACCAACCGCTGGCTGTGGTTGAAAGCATTTTAAGAATTAAAACGCCAATATCGTCGACAGCATTACGGGGATGAGACAATTTTAAATACCCACTTGGCCATAATGGAAGAGAATCCGCGCGAAAGTGAAAAAACATCCGAAGAAACGAAAGGAAAATCCAGCCTTCGTGAACGTTTCAAGATGTTTGGATGCACGCTTGAGTTATTTTATTACAAGGTTGTGTTCTTCGTCTCTTATGGCGCTTTCGGTTGTTTAATGACTTTCCTTCCCTTGTACTTCAAGCAACTAGGTTTGACTGCTGGTCAGACAGGAGTACTTATCGGAGTGCGCCCTCTTTGTCAGGCTGTAGGAGCACCCTTATGGGGAGTCCTTGCCGACAAATACAAACGACGGAAAGCCATTCTTCTTATCGGGGCTACGGCTTGGTTGGTCAAGAATATGTTAATTTTGGCTGTTCCTTCGAGTCACCAAGATTGTGTTGCACTCGCTGAAGGCAAATCCCATTTCGCACAGACAGACATTAAGCTGGATTCTCGAGTGAATTCCATCGACTTAAATTCCACTTTGCCCACCGATTTAACGCAGACAAGTACGCCAACTTCAGCTCTTGATTACTTAATACAAGTAGACGAAGCAAAGCTCTGGAAGTTGTTTTACATACTTCTCGGTATCGTGGTCGTCGGGGAGATGTTTGGCTCTATCCTCCACCCTCTTTTGGATGGTTGTGCTGTGGACTACCTCGGCGACGAGAGAAAGTCCTACGGCCGCCTGCGTACATGGGGTTCCGTAGGAATGGTGGTAACTAATTTGCTCGTTGGCCTCGTAATAAATCACTACACTTACGAGTACTGTGGCGAAATACACAAACGTTACTCCATCGCTTTTTACTTTTTCGCCGCGTTCATGGTTATTACGATGATCTTTTTAGTCTTGGTTAAAATCGTCTACTCCGATGGACCGAAGGAGGTATCGTTATCGGCCATCAAGGACCTATTTGATTCTCGTGTAAAATGTTCATTTTGGCTCGCTGCAATTGCCCTCGGAATAAGCGATGGATTTCAGGGGGATTTCAATTCATGGTTCCTTGACGATCTCAAAGCCACTTCCTTCGAGGTTGGTTTAGCTGCATCCTTACACTTCGTCTTCAGTGCCCTGTGCTTCTTCTTCGCCAACTACATGCTGGAACGTTTTGGTTATTTCATGACAATTGCTGGAGGAGTTGCACTGTACGCAATCTTGTTCATCTGCTTTTCCTTCGCTCAAAGCCCATGGGTTGCAATTGTGTACTACGTTATCATCGGGGGAGTGTTTGCTGTGTTCTGGACAGCCTGTGTGGCCTATGTTGGATCCATCGCCTCCCCTCTCGCTATCGGAGCCGCTGCTCAAGGTAAACAAAATATCAGACAAAGAAATTCCAATTAAGAGTCCCACGCTCCTCAGGATCGCAGTTCTCTTTTTATGATCTTCGATAGGTCCATAACTCTGGAGACACAAAAGCTAAAACGAATCGTTCCTTGTCCCTCGCGTTTTCGTGCGCTTGAAGGTGCTTGCGTATGTTGATCCTTAATTATTGTTGATTAATTCTGATTTTATTTTCATTTCGATCGCTTTTTGTAATTTTTGAAAGGAGTTGTTTGTTATTTTCCCTGCCCCAAAAGTTTTCCTCCGGTTTTTCTCCCTTCTGATATTCGACGCTCAAAATTCTCTCTCACCTCAACATCTGTAATGAAAAATTGTAAACGCAATAATGCCCTTGCAAAAATGCAACTGCTATAGTTCAAGTCAATCTATTAAATTCAATGAGAGTTTTGAGTTTTCAGTAGTGTTCATCGGCCTGGAAGAGCGGCTTTTTTCCTGCATCAGCCTTTCTTGAAAATAGAGGGGGCAATTTTATAAAGAAACTGAGGTGCTGCGTCGGTGAGAGTATAGCGGGTAATTTAGTGTTAACAACTGAGTTGAAAACGTAAATTGGCCACCGTAAAAAGTTAAAAGGCTGACGTTTCGAGCGTTAGCCCTTCGTCAGAGCGATTGGCGAAGGGTTAACGCTCAAAACGTCAGCCTTTTAACTCTTTACGGTGGCCAATTTACGTTTTCAACTCAGTTGTTAACACTAAATTACTTTCTTGAAAATACTTTTGCGAGATACCATTTTCTTCCCACAGGAATCCTAAACGGACTCTTTGTTGGTGTTGGAATCGGCGGGGGAACCATCCTGGGCGGATTGTTGGTGGGCTGGATTGGAATGCGTGCAACATACAGAATCTTTGCGTTTTTCCTTGCTCTGATTTTAATGCTGTTTCTTGGCTTGCAATGGTCAGGAAGGCAAGAAAATAGCGGAGAATCAACGTCATCCTACCAACCTGTGCCGAATCAGCCAGATGATCAAGAGGAATAAAGGAGTGTTATTCGCGTCTTCCTGGTTTCCTATGATCGAAGCGACCATACGAGAAGAGAAATTTCATTGGCAGAATCAGAACTCTGAACGTGTGGTTTAGAATTCAAATTGGTTCAATTTTAAGCCGTTTTCTCAAAATTATAATCGAGGTTGTCATGGGTGTCGCTCCTTGTTGTTGAAGGAATATACAAAAAACTTTATTTTCATCTCATGATTTTTAAAGTTGGATAGATAAAAACTAAACTTTATTCGACAAAGTTTATAAAAATAACTATAAAATATGTTTTAATAAATCCAGCTCTAAGAGTACATCTGCAAATATACAGCCTACCTATAAAGTCAAACGGAAGTAATTGAGCTGTTTAGATTTAAACTAGCAAAATATTATCATCCGTTGGTCGTTTTGAGTTAGCAATATGTCGTTGTAAATAAATTATTAAAATCCAAAGGACTCCAATTCGATGTATTACAAAGCCTGTCATTAACCTTCCGTTGCTTCAATGAATATTCTGATTGCTATCAAATGATCAATACCACGCAGACATCCGGCGTTCGAAAACTATCTCAGTTCCCCATTGCTGACGGCACGTTCGTAAAAATAATATGTAATGATGAAAGGGAAAGGCATTTTGACTTGGTATTGACTGGGGAAATCAGAGAAGAAAAATTTGCTTCTAGCCAGGATACGTTTAAACAAAACTTGCAGTGTTATCTTCCAAAACTATACGAAAAACCCAAAGCACATGCATCGATTCAGATTAGTCCAGCATTGAGGCTCCAAGTCAAGGATGCACCTGAAGAAGTGAAAGGAAGAATTTCTGGCTACAAATTCAAAGCAAGGAGATTAAAAAGAATGCCACATGCACTTTAACCAGAAACACTTCCATTTACGTATCAAAAAATACGCCACCTGAGGCTAATATACATAAGAAAACAATATGATTAATTAAAAATGCAACCTGCTGGGAAAACATTTGAGGGAAATTGATGATTACGTTAAGCGGTCACACTTTTTTGAACGTTGGAGTTTCCATTTGAAAGTTTTAAAATTGATAGTTTGTATAGAAAATGGAGACAGTATTTTTTGTCGTATTTATTTGCTAAAACGACAAGGCACTCGTGCCCTATGCATCCTTCACACTCGAATGTTCAAGTGAAATGTTCGTTTCAAGGAAGCTATGAAATCCCCAAGCCTCATCGCATAGATCCACGGATACACTGCGGAGCTTGAAAAAAACAAAGAGACACATCAAATCCACGCACGGTTATAAAGTCTGCGACGGCAGCGGTCGTTTGTACCAATCTCCAGAATACTGACAGCACTCACCGGCGTAGACAGAAAAACAGCCACTAGCACAACTATCGCCGTAGTAGGGATTGAAGTTTTTGTTAGCTTCCGAGCACTCTTTGTCTCGGGAGAAAACCGAGACGCTGTTCTCTGCGGCAGTGACTCTTCTCGACTCGTTATGCGCAGTTTTCATAGTTTCCCATAGCGGTAGAAAACGATCACAATCGGGAAAAGTCCTGTAAGCGTCCCAAAGGAAACTCACAGTTTTGGCAGGTCTTCATTGTCTAGGGAAAAGGAAATTGCGTTCAGTGTAAAGCCGAAAAACCACACGCTTGTGATTGCGATGCAAGTGCGCTTTACAGTACCGCAAGGAATGGATAATACCGATATAGCCATAAATACATTACATACCAGCCTAGCGGAAGCATTCAGAACTCTCTGAATTTTTGCAACCTGGATGTTTGGCAGTCCATGCAATAGGCTATTGTAATAGTCGATGCGGAACGTTACGAAAGCATAGACTAACGTCTCCGTTACTTAGTCGTACACAGCCATTCAGTTATCAAGACTTTAATATTAGGGTGTATTTTTAAAACGCGACACCCCTAACAGTAATCCAATTTGATAAAATAAAGACTGGAAAGAAGATACTTTTAGCACATCTATTAAAGTTGGAACAATTTTTGGCATATTTCCAATGGAAAGGCTGGGAGGTATTATGAGATTTATTCATTAAAACTTGCTTGCATGATGTTGGCGTAGTGTTCATAGATTTTCAAACGAATATAATTATCATTGAGCATTTCTTGGAAATTAAACGAAGAAAAGACATTATTCGTGATGATATGAGTCGCGGAATCACCATGCAGATACCCATACCCTCCAGGTGAATTAAAATACAAAACATCGACATCTCTTCACCGATTGATTTACACAACATATAGTATAGTGTCAAGGGGCTAAAATGGATAATTTCCATAGGATAATTTTAGCTTACGCGACGATTAAATAAACCAGAGTTTTGTGTAAACGGGTCATGGCATTCCACGGTTTTCTGCACGGTCGTTTTCGTTCCAAGTGATTTATCCTCTACTAAGCACTATTGTAACTCTCTTTAGTAATAACCATCTCCTGAATTAAGTTTCACATCTGTAAAAGACTTTACTTGTCACAGTGTTCTAAAAAAGCAAAGTCGATTGCCCTGAATTGTTCCAGACAGGAGATGTTCAGACCTAAAGCTCCACAATCGTAAAAAACTGAACCATGCATTCAGGAGACAGCTAAAGAAAGATGCTGAGGATTCATTGTGCTTTTCTGTTCTTTATCTCTTGTTCGAATTTCTTCATCAGTGGCCGTAACAACGTCAACCTTCATACCGTGACATTTACAAATCATGCAGTACACCCCACTCTGGACTACAATTCTCCTCAAGGCCTGTTTAAACTCCCTCGATCTTAAAAAGTAGATCCACGGATTCAACGCGGAACTGGCGAAAGCGAGAGTATCAACCCAGAACCATGTACTGGAGTCAATTCGGTGTTTTAAACATTCGTCTGATGTTAAAGCTTGAACAAAAGACAAAATACAAGATGGAAACCACAGCACAAAGCATGCTCCGATGACTAGAGCCGCTGTCCAAGTGGCCTTCCGGTTTTTACGAATTTTAACCGCCTCTCGTCTGTCCACGATGTGTTCACAAGCAATTCTTCGCGCTTGCGCTGAAGCAGTTTTGTAGATATGGAAATAACAAAATGAGATTCCTGACAACGGTACGATAAACACCACGATATAAGAAACAAGCCACAACCTGGGAAGAGCATGAAATTCTGTAATAAACAGTCGTGGCAAAGGTACAATAAAAGAACAAACCCACACCAAACCTATAAAGCGTAAACATCTTTCGGTTGTCACGTAGCTTTCATATCGGAATACGGCAACTATGGCCAGATATCGATCGATGCTCACACAACATAAGTTGTATGTTGTAGCTGTCAGTGTTTGTAAGGTTATGACCGCTGCTGCAATGGTTAGAGGGTGCGAGTTGACGTCGACAGCCATCCCCGCTTTAACAGCATAAAGCGGGTTCATAACCAAACCGACGAAAAAATCAGCAACGGCAAGCGATGCAATAAAAAAGTTGGAATTTGTTCGTAGGCCAGGAGTCTTGAAAATTGCCAAGAGTATCATCGAGTTGCCAAAAATTGTCACTGCGCTCAAAATTGAATTTATAACGCACACTGGCAATAAATTGGATGAGTATTCAGTGTTTTCACCACACATTTCAGATACTTGAACCATTGAAATTTTCTTTATCGATAAATCCTGATCACTCCTGGATCCTTCGTCTTGTTTTGTCGTTTATAAAATGGATCTGCTTCTCCATCCTGCCTCAAATCGTGTTGAAAAAAAAATCACCTATTTGGTTTCCAGCTTCAATGCTTCAGAAATTCAATGAACAACTCGAAAGATAAGATTGACACAAATGGACGTGCTATCTCAGAAAATTTTAAGTTAAAAGAGGTTTCTTTCATTGACTTTGACAGCTGTCCACCACGGTACCGGGAAACGGCAGCTAAGTAGTCATTTAGCGTACTCAGGTGTTTAAGACAGATCTTTTTCACGATATTATATTTGCTTAAGTGCCATCGTTTATTGCGAGAAACGAGTAATTTTCCTTACCAATATTGCTTGAAATTGTAAATTTATTTTCAAATTCAGAAGAGGAGATCGACGTCATGAATTAAGCGGTTTTGCAGCTGACATAGTTATGAGTGGACTTCTTTGCGTGAGCTCCGAAAGGAGAATTTCATTTTTATCTGTACTATGAAAGATAAATCAGACGGACAGCAAACGGATCATATTCAAATATACAATTTCGGAGCTTCGTTTGTTTTTCTAGCTAGTCCATTCTCTTTTAAATGGAATTAAATAACTATAGTCTTACTAAAACATTTTCTCTCGTGCTAGCATCAAATTGTAAAAGAAACAGGTTCCAATTTAGTTTAGAACTTTGGTTATTTAAAACACAGTCAGTTTTTATTGACAGAATGGATGCAATGAGCACTCTATTTCCAATAGCAATTTTAAAATTACGATAAGTGTTCAGAAAAGGCAATTTGTTGCGAGGCAGCCTTGATCAATATTACTAATCTACTTGCGTACACTTGTTTGTATTGCTAGTCTAATTCGGGCTTACGCTACTTTTTCTAATAAGGTCGCGAGCGGATATTTAGTTTTTCTTGAATAGGGGAGGACCTTTTCTTTTACTCATGAGAACTTCAAGCTAAATGTAACTCCAAACAAACACACTTTTCATGCTACTCTGTTGAAATAAACTTGACAAGATATGATCCTGATCTTTCAATAGGCAGCCCAAAAATAATCTCTGAAAGCGTATCCGTCTCATTCGACTGGATTCGCTGTGATAATTAGGAAACGTGTGGCAGCTGAACTTAGTGGTGAATATAGATAATTTAGTTCAATATTATCGCCCGAATCGATAATGTAAATTGGCCCAGAAAAGATTCTCTAAAGCTGACGTTTCGAGCTTTGGCCATTCGCCATTTGCTCTGACGATGGGCTAATGCTCGAAACGTCACCTACAGAAACTCTTTACAGTGGCCAACTAACTTAATCAAGTCAGGGTTTCAGTTCATATGAGCGCGGTTGACCGGGCTGGCCCGGTTTCCGAGATCTTGGCACATCTCTAATCTATTTAAAAAGTCTAGACGTGTTCATATGAGCGGGTTGTCTGGATCGGTTCCCGATCTCAATTTTTACCGAGCGGGATCTCGGGAACCGAGCAGGAAATTTATACCATATGTACACTCGATTACCAGGATGGAATTTTTTTTCAACTACGTATGTCACCGATTAGGCCACGTGCGGAGTGCGGCCTCAGACAACGTGGTCAAAAATGGCGGCAAGTGAGCAGATTTCTTCATACGCCTCCAACTTTGCAGACAGTAGTTCCGCTTCCGCAACAAGGCGGCACGGATGGCATCATGGTGCTTTGTCTGCTGTATTTTCCACAGCATAAGTATCCCATTTAGCTGCGTTATACAGCTACAAGAGCAGAAAAAGCTCAGAAAGGTGCGAAAATGATGACTTTGCGTTTCGCCGCCATGTTTG